GAAATTATACTTAATACATGTATGTACATGTAACTGATATATGTTGATATAAATTATACTCATGTCTTCATTTTTGTAGTCCCTTCTTGGAGCTGCCATGAAGGTCTTCTCAGAAAATTGTGGCAAACTATCAGCTGATTACTTCAGCAGTGAGATGCCCACAGGGAAAAGCCTGGCGTAAAAAAGCAGGTACGCACAATCCTAGCTCACTTTATACTGACATTCTATAGTCAAGTACACATGTATCAGGGGTTCAAAATTTTTTTTGTCATGGTCAAGTCCAGGATTTAAAGAGTAAATTTTAGGCAAGTCCGAGGAAGAAATTTCAGAGTCTATTTACCTATACATCATTAAATTTATGTTACTTATAATTTATTTTCATTTATTCATTGAATGAATAAAGACTATATGTATTAATATATGTTTTATTTTTCCTCCATAAACTGTCATATAGTCATACATGAGTATTTCAACACAATACCAGACTGATGGATTATTGGTACATTACAATAACTTTTACAAATACTCACTACGGAATAAACCATTTGTTACAATAAATAGAAATTAGAGTGTGCTGTAAGTCACAGCTAAAACCGAAATTTAACAAACTCATCGAAATTTAACAAACTCATTGCCGTTTGTCATACAGGAGGAAACATGAGGAATTTGCGTAAAAGCAAGAGTCTAACCGCAACGGAAAATAAAAAGACGGATTGTATTTTCGAAACGTTCCTAATGTTTTATGGGTATTTTAACGCCCACAAACCCACATTTTTACTTAATACATTTGAGAATTTGCTTTATTTTTAGCTTTATGATCATTTTTTTAACTTAGTAAAAAGATAAACAAGGAACGAGTCCCAGGACTTTGGCGAATTCTAAATGCCGAGTCCGGATCCGGAATTTGGTAGTCCGGGACGTCGGGCTTGAGGAATTTTGAGCCCCTGAATGTATTGTAGGCTCCAACAACTGGTCAGATGCCACTGGGAATGACTTATATGATAAAAACAGTCTGGTCTCTTATGTCTATTTTTTTTTTTTTTTCAAATGGTAAACCTTTAACAGTTTTGGTCTTATTTGAATATACTAGTGGACTTCATATGATTTTATGATTTTTTTTTCAGATCAGTGTTTAATTTGTAGAACAATATTGCCATGGATACAAAAACTAGACTAATGCGTGAATCTTGTTCAAAGTTCTCTTACAGATTTTTTGTAATTTTGATAAAATTTATAATTGACTCCATTATGGTACTTAATTTTTATTTAATGAATACAGATGCAAAATATTCAGTATATTATAAATTTTTCTTGCATGCAACAAGTCTGTTTTATAGCTATCCCTAAAATGCCCCCCTTATTTTTGCTCTTTTTGTACCAATTAAAATGAAGGCGTATGTTTATATTTAGGTGGTGACTGTTTTAGTTGCGGAGAGTTGATACGTAAGCTGATTTGTTTTCAGTCCATTGTGTCGAGTTTTACCTCTGTTAAAGCAATTAACTTTCTCAGTTTGTTGATGTCATAAAATTCATGTTTTGTTGGACCATAAGTTATATTATAAAAATACTCCACAGGTTTGTAGGGAAAAGCAAATTACTAGTACACTAGATGACATGGTGGCACACCTGTCTTAATAAGCTGTACATCTCTTAATCCCTAATCACTTTATAAATCTTTTGTCACCAAACTATACTGATCATTATGTGGAAATTGTGTCTATTTCCTAAATTTACCAATACTTGAAATGTAACTTATATATTAGTAAGTAATATATTAGGTAAGGTATCTGTATGTTGCTTAAAATTTTCTTTTGATCACCCTCTGTTTGTAGCTTTGAAAGGAGGCTTGGATTGTGAGGTTTTGTTTTCTGATTTTACGTATGTGTTGTGTAATGGGAGGGATTTTGTATCTATTTTTCAGACCTTCCTAAGGAACATAACCTGTACATCGAGCACGCCCTGGAGACCATACTGGAACCTGTCGTTGATGGCGTCAGTAAACTAAAGCAGACAGCACAACTCAGTGTTGTGTCGCAGGCCGTCACGGCGTTCTGTGAGGCATGGAAAAACAACATCCTCAAAAACAAAATCAAGTTCAGGTCTGACATCATCTGATTCTTACATATATATTTTCAAAGCAATTTTTGAGAATCAGTCAATTTACATTTTTAAGCTAATTGAAGAATATAGACCATAATTCAATGCATTTTGTAGGATTTTTTCTTTTAAAAATGAAATATGATGTATATTGGTTAAATTATATCATTCAAGTATTTAAAATCAAATCTGTGTTATTCTTCCAAATTCTGTCAGTCTCCGTACAAAGACTAGTTTAAAACATTAGAAAAATCTGCTATTACTTTGATTGTCATTGAAGATTAGCATTGTTATCTGTTTAAAGAGTTATATATATTCTGTGTTTTAAGTGATGATTTTGACATTTTTATTCTAGCTATGTTGGAGCTTACCAGCTGGGCGTTGACATTGGTTACATGAGGTCGTGGCTCGGAGAGTACATCACTAACCCAGAGGTCAGACAGAGTGTCCTTGACCTGAGTGTCTTTAAATACCTGAATGGAGCTGTAATGATCCTGAAGAAGCAGCCATTCCGGCGGGGAGGATCCAAATTCCGTGAGCCCTGCTCCATGGAAGACCTCAGTAAGTTACCTAGCTCAGTGGTGGGTCCAGAAATTTTGAAAAGGGGGGGGGCCAGTTTGAGGTCAGGGTAGGGGTCAACAGCCACACCAAAAAAATATTGATTAATCAAATATTGTGTATTTTTTTGGACACAAAAGGGGGGGGGGGGGGTCATCATGAGTTACATGAGCCGTGCTCTATGGAAGACCTTAGTAAGTCGCCTAACTTAGGCCAACAATAAAAAATGATTTGTTTGATGTACTCTGATCGACCGATTTCAATTGCCCCTACCCAATCATTTTTTTTTTAGCACTTTGAATTTTAATTTTTAGTTTCTATTATATAGTATACCATAATTTTTCTAGGATACTTTTTGATTTAAAATTTTATAGCAATATATAGGAAATCTGTATAGTTATCCACTATTCAGTGTGTAATCATGGTAATGCAAACATTGATAAATTATGACAGGCATACTGTAAAGCAAAAAAAAAATACCTACTTACCTACCCACCTTGAAAAATGTGGGTTGGAGTACATCAAACAAAAACATTTTAATGATGGCCTTACTGTTGTGTGGAGATCTTGTTTTTTTTGTAACATGATATTTTAAACATTCAAGCAGAAAATTTAAATATGATGATTTATGAAAAGTAGTAAATTTACTAAAGGTACTTGCCCATCGATTAAATTTACACAAGTATAATTTCTGATTTCCTTAAGGGACTTTGTAGATTTGTCATTCCGGCCTTGACCTTCATTGTTTACCATTGCACATGCAGTTGACTTCATCACTCCATTATAATCATAAATCTCCCTTTTGAACTGTAATCAAAAACATTTACACAAGCATCAAAATTAAGAAAACAAAAACTAGTTTCTACAAAACAAATGTATGCCTCCATATGTGAATATATGTTTATATGAATTTCAAACATAAACCCATAATAGATGGAATAAAGATTCATCAGATTATACCATAAATCTGGAAATTTTTACGTCGATTTTATTTTGCGAATCTAGGTCAAAATCATATGAAAATGCTGTTGATTAATTTTTACATTTCAAAATTTTGGGAATGACCACTACTTTGTTTACATTTTCTTATTGTTGAATTATATTTATGAAAAATATTTTGGCGAATGCAATGAACTCGCAAATTTGCTAAAAATTTATCTACAGTAAAAATTTCCAGATTTACGGTATAGACTATTAATTCCTAGGCTTGTCAGTTGTAAACCCTTAGTATCCATAATTTTGACAATCATAACTGATACAACTACCCTCTACACAGATCAAGCGGGTGACGGTAAGAGTTTGTACTTTACACGAGTGAGACATTTTAAGACTGTAGCTAGATAGAGCTACTTATATCTGTGGTTTCTAGATTTGCTCACAGTAAACATCTTGTTACCCTATCCCTGCTATAAATGTTTTAATGTTAAAGAGCATTTTTTCAAGAGAATCAAATTATTGTGCAGTGGAGCCATCTTTAAAATAGTGTTTGTTTGCCCTCTTTCGACTCAAGAGTAAAAATTTTAGGTTGGTAGGAAGATGGGTTGGTGCTGGAAATCTTATTCCAGAAATTTCAACATATTAATTGATGGAAAAAGAGAAATAAAAAGAAAAAAATTTTCTAGAATGTAAAAATTTTTGAGTCGGGCCATTTTAAGTTAGTAGGTCCGGAGAGGGCAAACAAACGTTTTGTGTGAACTTATTTATTCATCATGCTCTCTGCTTCACCTTCACACTTTTTTATGTGTTTTTATGTTAATTTTTTTTTTCATACTCATAATTTGTCATGGAAATAAAGACAGTTAACAGTTACCTTCATATGTTTTTATATTCAGTGCTAACTCCCCTTTGATCTATTTTTAGGCTGTAATGGACACGCTGACCTTGAGAATGTGAAGGTCGAGAGGAACATTTCTCGTTCCGTAGACACCGACCTTCCACCGCCGGTTGATGAGTCAGACATTGAGTTTGTGAACAACGTCGGCGAGTGGCTGTCACTACGGGTCCAGGGGGGATCACGGGGGTGGAAATTATCCTGTCTGAACACGGTAGAGGTGGTCGACTAGAGGTGATGAGTGGCTGTCACTCCGGGTTCAGGGGCGTGGAAATTATTTTGTCTTAACTCGGTAGAGGTGGTCGACTAAATAACATAGTGTGAGATTCTGTACGTGATGATGAGCCTCAATCTAAGATGTGGGACAGATCAGTGAGAATATTAGCTGGAAGATTTTATTCAGGAAATAATCCATGACATGTGACTGGGAACAGACATTCCATGTTTGGCAACACAACATTGAAATGTTTAAATATGACATTTAGTGTTGTGAAGTAAGGCCATATACATGTATAAGATAGGTTAAATCATAGAACATGTGTACTTGAAGTAATGCTAAGTTTTTATGGATTAAGTGCTAAACTATGCTAGATATTTTATTAACCACTACCTGTATTGGAAAGTTATTTTAAGACTTAACAGTTATTTGAATATCTTATCCTTTATTTATTTATTTCAAAATTTTCCATATATTTTATTTTTTTAACTAGTCTGTAGTTGATAATTAATAGGACTGTTAAAAGTTATACAGTAGAAGTTACATTTGTACCTGAAACTGCATTTTTGAAAACCATATCATTCTTCTGTTGTTGTAAGTGTCGGAATATTATCAGGTGCTTTAAAGGCAGATTTACATCTGGATATTAGAACTGGGAGAACTGAAGTCTTAGCTATTATCAGGATTATATACCTGACTTACGTTGTATTTCAATACTCATTAAAATAATTAAAATAAAAATAGTCCAAGGAAATTTCGAATACCTGTTTTTTATTTTTACAGCATTATTATACTTGTACTGAGTAACTATGGTAAAAGATTTTTATGTGAAGGACATTCATTTGTTTAGTTTACAGTGTCGTACATATTTCCTTAAAGAGAAATCAAAATATTAATGTAAGCCATTGTCTTGTCTTTTACCCTCTCAGGAAATTTGAAATATGGCACTTTTTTGTACTGAATGTTTTGAATACAATTGTATTACAGATAAAATGTACATAGCCTTTATTCTGTAAAATATCACACTGTGAGATTTGTTATTAAGTCATGGGATAGAATAAGATTTTAATATTTCTATATACAGTAAAAATAACGAAGAACTTGTTAAAGAAATTTCAGTTTAAAATTTTCATGTATCTCTCAAGTTTTGAACTTTGATGAAAAGAATATTGGTGATAAGGAAGCAAGATTCAGTTTATCATTAACTTCTTGACAAAAACCATGTTTAACTGTTGTTTATCAAATGTATTTTTATATAGTTTATTGTTAATGGCAGAAGATTATTGGGTTGTACACAAAACGAAACACATGCCAAATCTTAAAAACAATTAGTCTATTATCCCACGCTTGACTTTTTTTGTTGAACTTTAGATTAGTGGTGCTGCAAAACATTGTTTGTTGGTTTCTCTATACTGTGAAATCACAGATTTTTGTGGGGGTTTTATTTTCGTCGTTTTTGAGGTATGAAGAGACCTACCAAGAGTGTAAAATGTTACATAGGTAACTACTCAATGATTCTTCATCCAAGAATTCAAATCCAAGAGTTTCCACTCAAACCACGAAAATTTGACCCCAAGAAAATACAAGATTTTACAGTAATCAGTTGTTTTGGTGTACACAGAGCTTTGTAAGCTGATTTACTGTAGATTCTTAGTTATATGCCAGGAATTAACTATCGCGAAATTTTGCGAGATGCATCACTTGCGAAATAAAATACTGCACTTTTATTTATATGGTTCTGAAATACATGTAAATTCTCATGATCAACCAACCAATCATGAATTATTATTCTCTCAATTTGCCGTTCAATATATTTACGCTATAAAAATTACTCGCGAAAAATAAGGAATCTACAGTACTACTGCTTGGAAGTTTTATAACTTTTATCCTGTACCATAAGAGTTCAATGCTCACTTAATCTTTGTTGTTTTGTGGAATGAATTTTTAATTTTATATCACACAAAACTGTTCAACACTCAGTTTGCAATGTTGGTAAAAATTATGACACTTGGCATATTCACATGAATTTCTATTCAGTAGATTTAGTCTGTACTCTGTATAAATTATGAATGTGAAGTCCCTAATGCAGCATAGAAATATTCTGTAAGTGTAGCCTTTTACTGGACATCATAATTAACTTTTTGACTGTTTTCTTTATATGAAATGAGCAGTAACTTGCATTTTGTATTGAAGAGTACCAGATCCGGCCTATGCAGATAGTTTTAGTAATTTTAGATGAGCTGACAGCTCATAAGTCTCTAGAAAAGGTTTATTAAAAAAAAGAAATAACTGTTAATCAATCCAACAACATTGTTTCATCTTTCAAAAGATTTCTAAACTAATAAAACTTTCAAGTAAAAAAGACAGAACTGGTAGCTTTTATTCATTTTATGTGTAGAAATGTATTGAAAATTAACAGAATTCTTTTTGTAATTTTGATTGAAAACGGAATTGTAGAAGGTAGTTGTAGGATTAATTTGCCATAACATAATGATATTAGTATTTAAACTCTAGATATATACACTAATGACAAAAGGACTTAATATCCAGCATATTTTCATATCATTAGAAAGGAGGTAAAAATTTTTGTACCTTTGTAGTTTAAATCAAAATAGATTTGTTAATTTTCCTACTAACTGTAAATCTACATGATGTCCGTGTTTGTGTGATAGTAAAAGACCGTTAATATTATGTTTTAATATTTCTAGTCATATTTACATGTTCCATTAGTAGCACTAGTTCTTATTATAACCTTTTGGGTTTTTTTACTGCGTGAAAAGTTTCCTTTGGCCTACATTGAATTTTTTTAATCAAAGAAGATTTGAGATTATCTAGCATGATGGTATTCTTAGATATAATGGTGTTTTCTCATCATTATAATGTAAGCTGAAAAAAAATGTTTACATCTTTCTTTCAAACCATTTTTGAAAATTATTTCAAAGATTTAATGTTAATTTTTTTTTTTTTAATTCTAAAATGGGATTCAGAGAATTTTATAAGGGGCATCATATTTATTATTTTGTTTAAAGATCTGCAACTGTGATATTTATGATTTGTTAATTTATTTATTATTTTTACATATTTGTATTGTATAATTTTTTCTGTTTGTGATTTTTTACAATGAATGTTTTTACTCTACCCGCAATAGAAAAAAAACATTGTTGATGAAAAGGTTGTCTCCCCTTCTTCTGTTTTCCCTGTCTGTCCGTCCTTGACTGCTTAATAAATTATCCTTTATCCATTGATGACAGTGATTGATGATTTGTATTTGTTGTGGACAAGATTAATTAACTAATAATGGAGCAGTTGGTTTTAAACTTGAAAGAAGGTGATAGGTAACCACAGGAAACCCTAAACTTAGTTGAAGGTGAACAAGATGTCTTTGTGAAACACTATGCACCCAGCTACAAAGTTTGAAAAAAGCTATTTTTAACATGGGTCACAGTCAAGGTCACAAGGTCATGGACCTTTGTATTATTTAAAAGATCGAAAAAGAAAGAAGTATGCATACCAAATATGAAGTTTCTATCTCTCATGGTTCAAAAGTTATAATGAAGTTTCAAAAAAGTTATTGTTAGCATATACTAGTAGGTCACAGGCAAGGTCGCCAGGTCATTGACCTTTGTATCATTTAAAAAGGCTTAATAAGTGGAGTAAGCATACCAAATATGAAGTCTATCTTTATTATAACCCACGCAACAAGTTGCTACACTATAATTCAGTGTATAAATAATGGGCTAACAATTAGTATGAAAAACGTCAGTCAGCATTTGACTCAATGATAAATTGTATTTGCTGACAAGGTCATTGTATCGACCATAGAATTTATGAATGATGACTTTAAAAAAGACGACTGATATTCTTGTTTCATCAACTTGCTTGTCAATAATTTACCTCGTTTTTAAAAATTGTTCATACATGTATGTAGAGCAAGCTCTTGCGTATCGAATCAACTGAGATACATATATATATACTATGCAGGTGACGAAGGTTTATAAATTCTGATTCCTTTATTTTATCCGGGAATTTCAGCATTTACAGTTTTGGGGGAGCATGGGGTATGTGAGCTTGCTCGCCTTTTCTTTCATTAGTTAAAAAGTTATGGTGAAGACTAAAGTTTAAAGACAAAAAGGCTATTTTTAGCTTATAGGTCACAAGGTCATCGACCTTGGTATTATTCGAAAAACCTTAATTAGTAGAGCAGACATACCGAAAATGAAGTCTCTATCTTAATAAGTTCAAAATTTACGGCGAAGGTAAAGTCTGCAGGAAAAAAGCTATTTTTAGCATATAGGTCACAGTCAAGGTCACAAGATCATTGATCTTGGTGTCATTTGAAAGAACATTATTAGTGGAGTATGCATACCAAATACGAAATCTCTATCTTTCATTGTTCAAAAGTTATGGCAAAGGTATAAGTTTGCAGACAAACAGACAGACAGGACAAAAATAATATACTCCCTGGATCTATTGATCCGGACGCATAAAAAAGTGAGAGTAAAAGTTAGCATGATACCTTGATTAAGAGTGTGTTTCACATGCTATACAGTTACCATTTAATCATTCAAACTTGCCACAGAATTCAACTGAACATATATTATTGTAATATATATATGTGTGTGTGTTACACGTTCAGCTTTAGAAAAAAAATTGATAAACTCACAATATGAATTTATAAAGTGCAAAAAATGTGAGGTACAAATGCAATACACAAACAATTACCATATCATTTAAATCTGTCAGACTGCTAAATATATGAGTGTACAACACTGTGCAGTTGATCACACTCGTGTTATGTACACAGTTTTTGTAAACAGGGCACGAGCTCTGTTTTTGTTGATGTTTACAATTCCCCGGATGTGTTCAATCGTCAAAGTCTGCTCACCACAACTGCACGGACTGACAATATATTGTGTATTTGTTTTGCTTTCGAACATGTCTACTCCAAATTTTTTGGATTATAGTATTAATATTTTTCATTTATACACAACAAGATTGCTACTTTTCCTAAGTATTAAGGATAAAATAAAAAATTGTGAAAGTGCAAGGATGTGTCAATCAAACCCGCCAAAAAATTTGAAGTTTTAAGAACTTTTAAATTAAATAAGATATTTATTTAATTTTGTGTGAAATGCTATTAAAATATATTATTCGTGATATTATACAGAAAATATTAACTTATCTGTGTCCAAGTACTTTTAATATTGTTGACACTTGTAGCCGTTTCAGATAATAAGATCGAAATGTCAGGTAACGAAGAAGATGACGTTATACGTCTTCGAGAAGATAGATGCTCTGTGAAACTAGATTCTAAAGTCTTGACCTTTTACGTTTAGTGTCAGGGGCACTATTTGGTAGCGACATTAGATGGTGAGTGGAGCTCACGGGATTGGATTCACAACACGATCTTCATTTTAAAAAAGTTTGAAATTGGCTTGGTTTAAAACGAAAAAAAAAAAGATGTTTCTAACATTAGCTTTGACATTGATATATAACAAGCAAATTGTTTTTACATTACCACACACAGACTTTGAAGCATTTCCCCCACTATTTTCTCTAAGTCTTATT